TTTTTAATCTTGGAAGTTGCGAGAATATGCACTAATTTCATAGTGAGTGCAACCTTTCTTTTGGATAAAACGATAAAATTTGTTCTTTTCTCTATTTCTTACTTTATATCTCTCTCTATAGTGTACAGAGAAAGAAAAAAACATCAAAGCAAAGAAAAATGACATAAAAGAGAACGACAGAAAAGCGGAATCTTTGATGTCTACTGTTGAATATAGTGTAATATACCGTGAAAACCCACAGTGGAGAAACCGGGTCCAAAAAATGCGGGCACCCTGACGAGATCTTTGCGCCGTTCAACGTAACTCGTTGCGCTGATTCCGAATATCTAAGTTTCAAAAATTCCGTTTCTCTAGAAAAAAACCATCGAATTTTGATATGATAATGCATCCTTTCGCACCGAAGAACGAGAAACATGAATATTGAGTCATTTATCGCTTTCTTCCTTATCTTATAATGTCATGACAAAGTTGGAGTTTTCCATTTTTTTGCACAACGCATAAACATGATCTCATTCTAAATGCTTTTGCCACTTTTCATCGCTCCTCAGCATTCTCACTCTCAACATGGATTCGAAAGCTGATCATTACAAACTATTGGGTATTGAAGCGAACGCCTCAGAAGCGGCCATTCGTCAGGCATACAAGAAAAAAGCACTCGAATGGCATCCAGACAAACGGGGCAATGATGTTCACGCTGACCAAATGTTCAAAGAAATCAAAAAAGCCTATGAAACTTTATCAAATGATCTGACCAAATTCGAATCGATGCAAAACGTGAAGACAACGATGATGATACCGTTTTGCTCGATGCATTTCAACTACCATCGGGCAAACGACCCTCACAAGTTTATGAAGAAAAGTTGACTGCTTGGGTTGACGAATATCCGCATCGAACATTTATCGATAACGTCGATGCGGCAATGGAAAGTATCACTAAAACGGTTTTAGACAAGTATCGCGATGATTTCAATGCCACCTCGCTCTCGCCGACTATCTGTTCAATCTGCAGTGAGCAATGCCACGACCTAACTGATCATTTTGGAACGAAGCGGACGACATATATGACAAGTTTGAAAAAAGATGAATGCGTCGAACCCTTCGCTTAATGAGCAATTGGCCGCGCTCGCACCCGATGGTTGGTCGTGGAAACCGAGTGATCCACCTGCACTAATTTTCCAAGATTTATGGCTGAGCACGAAATGGGTCGATGTACCGCGCCTGATCGACGAACTGTTTCCAGCGTTATTGATTCTAAAAGATCCAGCTTCACCTCCCAGAAGAGTTAACAGTGAAATCGAAAAAACCGTCCAAATTCTCTGCAACATTCGTTCTATTGTCTATCTACCCGATATTGCTTCACTCGTCACTGCCATCGATAACGAGAATCGTTCGAAACCGCCAGAACAAATGTGTAATATCGACGAAGATAATGAACGTCGTTCGTCGACTAGATCAGGTTTATCAATTGTAAACGGTACTGAGCCAAAGTCTCCACTCGATCAACTCTGCTATGATGTCGAATCATCATCGTGTGCAATTACCGACAATTCAACATGCTCAGACTGTAAAAAGAAGCTATCGCTCTTTGTCTTTGGCCGTCGTTATCATTGTCGAATGTGTGGTCAGACTCAATGTTCAGATTGCCAAATATGGCAAACTTGTCGCCATTTGGGCTATACATTGCCCGTGCGCATCTGTCAGGCGTGTTCATTACACAAAAGAGGAATTATTATCGATGCCATTTATTCACACATCCAGAAAAGTCTCATCAACGGTTCTACTCAATATCTGTCTCTCTACATCGCTTTACTCAAGCATTATTCTCAACAAAATGATTTTTTGTATTCACTATACGAACTGGTTGAAAATCATTTTCTGGCCTTTCAAAATTTCGGCGGCGTCATGCAATGTCTTACCTACCGTTGCGCACCACATGAAGCCTGATTCAAACTAGCCGAGACTACCTGTTCAGCAGGGGCTTTTGCTCACGCATTCACTTGTTTTGATATCGTTTCGTCACAATTCCATTATACAAACGAACAATGGACAGAGGTGGGAGATGATTACTGCACAAAAGGGAATGACGCTCTTGCTTTGCTCTCTTATCGACAAGCGAAACTTAGTTACGAAAAAGTTTGGCTGAAATCAATATCGAAACTGGACAGCATGCTCATCACTCTCTACACCATATCCTTGGCTCGACAATCGAATCAATTAGATACATGGATAAAGCGAATAACTGGTTATTTGCTTGACAAGAATCTCGGCGCATCAGCTATCTTGACTCTACAACTTGCTCAACTGGAAGCTTCTCAATGGACTCTCATCTTGGACGATCTCGCGTCTCTTCGTCAGTTTACGACTATCACTAAGCTGTTAAAAATAATTGCCGAACCGCTATTGAATGAGATCATGTCAAAATCTACAAACCTGTTTGTTCAACTGGCCTGTTTTTCGTCGAACAATTCCACTAAGGTTCTTGATTCTTTTCTGATTCGTCCGCAAGAGAATATGGACAAACTACTCATCGGTCTCGTCATTGTTCATGTTTTACAACGACCCGACTGGGATGCACTGCAAAGTCGATACTTCAGTATGCATGAATTTGACAAAGTATTGATTTGCCAAAAATTTCGCAATAACTCTCAGTTATGTCGTGACGATAATCTCAACTGGATTGAAGCGGCCTTGAAAGCCAATGAACCATTTGCTTATCTCATGAAACCCCTCACAACAACATGTGACTACATTCAACTTGCAGATGCGTACGCAGCCGAATCGGACGATTTCGAAATTGCACTTAATTACTACATGTTGAGCTTAAAAGCCTCGCCCACCCGATCCGCTGCTCTTTTCATCATCCAGTCGACAACTGAATGTTTGACAACATCCCAAGCTCTACGTTACCACCTAGCCATTTACAAACGGATGAAATCAGATAGAACCTTTCTTCCCAATATATTTGAAACTATCTGCAATGACTTTCGAAAGCAGGGCAAACCGGTTGTAAATATTCTTGTGGGATGTACTTTGGTGTTGGAAGAGCTGGGTATTTCCAACGTATCACTTCATTCCAAGTTGCTCGATGAATTGGCGAAACGGTTTGAGCAAAGTTTTGATCTCATCGATGCCGCTCTTCACTTTTTGTTGAACAGCAGCTCTCCAACACAAAAGAGCAGTGTGCAAGATCTGGCTGATCATCATCGCAGAATAATAATCGATGTAGCGCACGCGAAACTCAAACCAGCAGTGTACAAGAGCATTACTCAATTAGTGGCCTCACTTTCCACAACGACCAACGCCTGCGCTTTGGAACAAGTTCACCGAGAATGTTTCGGCGATCGAAATATGGCTACAGCTCCCGGTGACTATCGTGCTAAAATGTACTTAATAGAAGGAGTGATCGCGAAACTCCAAGGACAGTATTTCGATGCCGTTGGTAAACTTTATCAAGCTATGATATGTTTGCCTTCCGAAGAGACGGCAAGTGCACTGGTTATGCTCATGAGTAATCTCATCTTTCGTCAGGCCCTCATGCATGAATTACTTTCTGCAATTACTGTATTACCTACGAACAATGCCAAAAGTGCACTTGCCCCTCCAATTCATCCACCGCCATCGATATTTGCCGCCGAAAATCATCCCATTGCTAGTATTCGTCTCAATCTTGTGCGCAAGTATGAGCGAGCGATTTTGAAACGCCTGAATAAGGACTCACTTCAATCAGCGCTTTCCTACATTGACATGTGTCAAGCAGTGCACGATCCAACTTGTCTTGTGTCCAATTGGACTTTGGCATCTATGTACTTTTTCGACTTACTCGTCAAAGCAAACTCTATTCCAGGCCAAGAGGCATATGTCTATGCCTATCGAAACTTGATCGATGAACTCGCTTCTCAATCGTTTGCGGTGTCTCGCCATTTCCTTCCGCCACATATGCAAACATACATTTTTCGTTTAAACTACCACTAGTTTTTGAGCGTCGACTTGAAATTCACCATCTGCGCCTTCGTGTCGAGTTTCCTTAGTTGAATGAGCCTTTATGTTACCGTAAACTCGTCGTATCGCCACTGTGTTGTTGTGGAGAAAAGGAAAGCACTACGTATTATTTCTTATTCTGCTTACATTACGACCAGCAGAGGAACGAGCTTTTCGAAAAACTCCAAATGCTGTTGAATTGTGATAGAGTTCACCTTGATCAGCTGCTTGTAAGAGATGGAACAATTAGACAACTGCCAGTTGAGCAAGTAATTGAAGTCGTTTCAGAAATACTGCACTTTATCTAACGTACTAGGCGGTTTATGCCTTAAGATCCTATTATTGCTATCATTTTCTTTAATCCCACTGGCACACATGGATCAACGTATTTATTACTAAATTTGTCTCTTCCTTCTATTATACACACATACCACTACTCCACTCAATCTTTGTTTTGTATAAATATTTCTTTAATGTAGACTCGTTTTTTCTAAATGGATTTTTTTTTTGATTAACCTACTCTCTTTTTTTCTTCTTGTGGGCATACAATGGGGTTTGCCTCGACTTACCCACTTCTTATTAGTATGTTTATTTCTTAAGTATCTTTTATAATAAATCTTCTTTCTTTTTGAAAAAAAACAACCTATGATAGTCTCAGCTCGCCTAATTAGAGTTGCTATTAGTCGCTTTTATGCATATACCAGATATTCGAAGGCAATAAATAGTCTTACGCTCGTCTCTATCTGCCTTCCGAACAAATCTCACAGTAAAAACAGTAACTCACCATCCAGTATGTTTGGTTAAATAATGTCATAATGTTTTCTCTTTCGTTTTGGTGATTCGGCATAATGGTCCTTTTCATCATAAATTTAAGAATACAGTGAAAACCTATGTCAGATTGAATAAGTCATTTTCTCACTATTTCATGCAAGTTGTGCAGAACCCAGGCATAAAACCCAAACGTCTGAAGATATGATGCACAGTTTCTTACGAAATTTTAATCACTTTTTCCGTTGAATTGTCATTGAAAACTCTGATATATATGTATTAAAATGTTGAGAAGGTTGCTTCTAATATTTCAGAAGCGTCCACCTCGCCTACAACCTCATCAAGCAGTTTATCCTCAACACGGAGTAAGTTGTTTTTGCGCGTGTTTTGTTTTAACGAAGAAACTTTGTGGAACACTTCTAGAAGACTCCGCAATTAAAAATAACAACGATTGTTTAGGTTACATGAAATGTGTATCATATTGTTCGCCTCTCACACTTGTATTCAGGCTGTGAGCGTAGCTTGTCGTAGATAGTCAAATTAAGTTCTGCTTGAAGTAGTTTTTATTGACTCCAACCAGACGTAGCTATTTCAGATTCTTAAATAGACTGAGACATTTAATATTAACATTGAATTTTTTGCTTACTGTCGTAGGGTAACAGATGATGTAGAATGGTCTGGAGGAATAGAGAGTAGTTCCAGAGTTTGGCTACAGGGGCTCCACAAAACGTTTTGAACGACTGCTCGTCATCTGTTCGCTAGTTTCAATCCTGAAACAACTTTCGAAAACTAAACTGTCGATGGTTTTAGTCGTTGAACTGTATCTGGAAGCTCTCGCTCTCTCAGACAGCTAACTTTTAACTGCGTGTGCATCTCGCGGTTACCGACGAAACGTACCAGCTTTCCAGATATATGAGTTGACTATTGCTAGTTGCACGACTGGTTGCTATCTAGGTTACTATTACATTGGCACATAAGTTCTGCACGTTTTTGATATTGCTCCGGAAATACCTTTGGATTTTGTTTTCTTATTGAATGATGAATCGAACGAGATGCCCCTCAGAGAATAACACTATTTAATCA